AAATGACCACGTTCATTTTGATGGGTCAAAGATAATTAACGTCTCACATTACATTTTTATTTATTCAATGCACATTATACAGTCCAGAAAAATGAAAGAATCCGTTTAATTTATGAATATATATCAGCATATGTTCATCTACATCTGGTGGCCTCGTACGCTTCATAAATGGACTGTATTCGCGTAACAATTGAATATCATGTTGGCATGAAAAAAGTGCAGATTCTGCGGTGTGAAACGCAGCATGTTGAGCTGAGATGCTCAGAGAAAGCTTGCAGCTAGTGATGTTTTGAAAGCTGAAATTGAGAGTCAATGTGTCTTTTTGAAAGCTGAATTTGTACATCTGTGTGTGTGACAAAGTTGATAAGCTGGGTTTGAGTTAAAACGCTTTATTCTGTTTAAACTGTGGTCCAGACGCGGTTCTGACCCGGCTCGGTTCTGATACGTTCGAACGAGTTGTTTTAAATGGTTGGAAAGACGTTTTTAAGACCGGAGCGCCGTCTCCGTGAAGCTCAGAGTTGATTCGTTACATTTTTAACAGAAAATAGTGCATTTTGACAGTTTAAAAGACGAAAAGTTGACAGACTTTTTCAGGCTAATGCTACACGCTAGCTGGAAAAACGATCTGTGATTGTTTGAAAACGGCTGAGTTGGGACGCTGTGATACGCTGAGAAGTGAGTGACGTGTCTGCGTTCACTCCCTCTGATGTCAGCGATGTAAAGCCCACCCCCGCGCCGTTATGATTGGTAGATTCAGTCACGTGACCCAGAAATGAGCTCGGTTGAACCGAAGCCTTTTCTGTGCTTAAAATCACTAAATAAAATTTGCCACATGTCCCTAAAACTCATGTTCATGCAAAGAAGTCGTGCTTGTTGAAACATTGCCACGTTTAAGCTTTAAATCCGTTCAGAAATGTTGATTTGACCGAGTTTTAGCCGAAGCTAACTTTAAGCTAAGCGGCTAACGACAGGATGTCAACAGAACATCCACAGGAAGTTGTCATAGGATCCTGCTGGTAGAAAGCTAACACTGCCCCCTCCTGTAGAAACTTGAAATCACAGTTTCACTTCGTTTTAGGTTAGTTTGGGTGAAATTATACGTGTTTATCCTAATGCTACGGGCATTTTTGAGTTAATAAACGTTCTTCAAGCTGAATTATTACTGTTATCTTGCATTTAAAAAGTGATTAAGGTATTTATGCAAGAAAGGCATTTACCAAAACATTTTTTTTATTCACTGGTAATTCCTCTGATGAAGAAAGAGACAGAGGTGCAAAATAAAAATTTGAAACTTTTTAAAAAGATACAGTTCAGATATTCACAGAGTTGATAAGTTTACTCATTTGCTGAAAAGAAAATACACGTTTAATTGCTAGATCACTAAATAAAAGTAAATATATCAGAAAAAGGAAACTTTTATGATTTGTTTTTACCACCTGGAACACTACATCTTCCTATTTAATTTTTAAATAGAAGATAATGGCAGGAGAAGAGGAGTATAACAGTTTTCCTGAAGGGGAGACTGATTATTCCTCATCATCAATTTTCTTTTCTCTTTTCACCCAACCTGGGTTGATGAGTAACTGTTAAAATAGCGAATTTCTGGAAGTGAACGGTTTTAAAAAAAAAAGCGTTTTTAAACTGATGTTGCTGTGAGACTTTTTAGAAAAATTGCAGGTTTATTAAGTTCAGTGCTTTAGAGTAAAAAACACTGAGAAGCTTGGTAATCTAGTATCTGTTAAAAAATAAGCACATAAAAAGTAACACTGCAGAGAAGCATTTACTTAAATATTCATGAATTGGGGTAAAATCCTGATAGGTGCCCACATTTGAATAAGTTGACTTATAACAGTACTTTTGTGTAAACCCAGAGCTTAAAATAGTGTGAAACTCAATGACACTTGAATACAAATATTTACCTGTAAAATATCTGAAGCTGGCAACTGTTTTAACCAGATAAAGTGCTACACAGTGGATAACCATGACAGGTGTGATAGAAAAAGATTTTGACCCTTATGAGATGAAGGACTGTTTAGAGAAAGCGTTAGCATTGCTGACAGGATCCTTACATCCATATGATAAACAGGTGGACAGCATGAACCCAAAAGAGTTAGTGGACAATCTGATGGAGGTTGCAGAGAGTGTGACCTCTACAGAAATTACAAAGTCCAGCTATGAAAAGCTGGCTAAAATGGCATTGTTTCTGAAAGAATCATTCTATACAGTGGTTGAGAAAGCTGATTACCTTGCAATAAGGTTAAACAGCGAAAAAGAGGTGGTTCAGGAAATTGAAGAACACTTCCTTCAATTTAAAAGTGAACACGAGATCCTCACAAAAAAACATTGTGAACAGATGTTTCAATCACAGCAAGATGCACGTGCAGAAATTGATTCACTGAACAGCAAAATACAGTTACTTAATGCATCACTATCTGAAGCCAGGGATGCTAAAGAGCTGTTGTCCAGAGAATACTTTGCATTCAGACGGGATCATGTCGTGACAGTGTCACAAGTTTCCCGCTGCAAAACTGAGATAGATGTGCTTAAAACACAACTTCACAAACGCAGAGTGGAAAAAGAGGTATTACTCGAACAATATATGCGTTTACAAAGTGAATGTCAAACATCACAGGAACGCTTAAAAGCATGTGAGGAGAAACTAACCGTGGCAACATATAAAAGTAATGACGTGGGGCGAGTTTGTCTGGAATCCAGAGAAGACTGTGGACAGAGTCCGGGTCATCCACCAACACCTCCAAAAGTCTATTACACACCTCTTGCTTTTAAGCCCAATCTGCCACCTCCACATATGGGTAGAGAAACACCTCCACGTGTGGGTAGAGAAACACCTCCACCCCCATCTCGGGTGATAGGGACAGACCTGCACCAATTTGCACTACCAACCACGCAAGTGAGACCGTTGATACTTTCTCCTTCAATGGATGATTTGCAAAAAATCTCAAAATATGTACAACGCTTTGTACCGGACCAATGGGTTCAACTGGAACAAAAGCGTACCTGAACGATCTTGAATTCAGATTGAAAGGTTATCCTAATGCTACGGTTGAGGATAAGATCAGTCTGATAAGGCTCACTTCAGACAGAGAGGTGTTCACCTTCATCGAGTGTCTACCTGATGCAACGAGAAAGGATTACAACCTTCTGTGTGAAGCTTTGATCAGAGAGTACGACCCCTGCACGGGACCTGCTGGGTTCCCAGCCGCAGACAAGGTCACGCAGGGCAAGAATGAACATCCAAAAGTTTATTACAAAAGAATCTTCCAAGCTTATTTTGGTTACAGAAATGAAACCAGAATCGAGGAAGAAGAAGGTTTTAAATATGTTTTCAGCAAAAATCTCCACACTGATTTTAAAAGATCAGTACAAATGATGGCAAATTTCAGAGAAAAATCCATCAATGAGATTAAATAGTGTGCTGTGAATGTGTTTGAGGCATGTTCTCATGCTAAGACGCCCATAGAGGTGTTTCTTGGTATAAAGGTTAAACCCCACTCCTGAGAAATGGAAGGATGGAGTGCATCGCCTCCACCTCCTAAAACAGGCGAGAAAAAGCAGTATTTTCAAACTAACAAACCGCGTAATGAAGGTCTACGCTGGGACAGAAAAGCTCCTCTTTCAGAGGATGAACGTGATTATCGTAAATGGGGTATGCGTAGGACGCAAAGATATGGGATCCAAGAGGACCCATATTATCAGGGGAAGTCCGAAGAGGAACCCCCAAAAGACGTACCTAAGCCTCCCCCACCTCGGACGAAACGAACCGAGGCGATAAGATCACAAAGGTTCCAGAAACAAGGCCCTACACCTCTGAGCTCGGAAGAGACAGAGAAACTACAGAGGTTTTTAGAAACTTTGATACACGCTGAAATGGGAAACCAACCTGGAACGCTGTGTAGTGAGGTGATCGCTACTAAATCTGAAGGCGCGAATGACAACATTACAGATGTCGGTGGACCACACCAAGACATTGCTGTCGTTGCCTCCAACAACCCCTCATCGGACGAAGGGGGGGTAAACTCACACACAAACGATGATGAGTCATCGCAA